AATGGTCATTTTATTCTACAAAGAAATATTCTGTATATTCCCCATCATTTCTAGAAGTGCTAGAGCTGCAATATTTGAACATTTTGTATAAATATGTGCTCCTCTTAACATTTAGTGTGTTCTGATACCAACTGATATTTTCAGAAGATCTCCTTTTTCAAAGAGCCATATTTATATCTTTTAACCTTATCCTTGAAGAATTTGTAGATTTATCAAGAACTGTGGGAAAAAGTATGACCTTTATGAACTTAGAGCTTCAAACATCTAGAAGGTCGCACTGTCATAATAGTAGGTTAAGTTATGGTGGTAAGATCAAAGTCTAAGAAACTTTTTTTTTTCTCTTTTTAATTTTTAATTTTAGTCCAAAGGGACAATTTGGCCAGAGGGACTATTAATTTCGTTTTGGCATTTTGCGTTGATTCACTACAATCGTAGTTCCTTTCAGATGTGCCACCAAATATAGCCCTGTATAGATTTAAGAAATTAAATAATTAGAAGCTGCATAATGTAGTATTTTCTCACATTATGATAAACACGTACTATAGCCAGATTTGATAATGTATCTGCCTGTGAATTATTAGGTCATATGGCGCCTAATTTGGAATTGTTTTATACGATTCATTGGTGTAAATTTTAACGAATTTTGATACTCGTAAGATTTCAAGCAAGCAAGGAACGTGTCCAGGAAACGTTCTTATCTCCGCGGTAATGTGTTTCGAAGTCTATGCTTATTTTTCAATATTTCTAACTGATGGATTTGTAGTGCAAAGAACATTATATTTAATAAATAAAGGTAACACACAAAATGTTAAAAAAAAATAAATAAAATGAAGCCCCTTTGGACGTAATTTAAAATCTAAAAAAACCTTTCAGATATTTTTTTTTTAATGCAGACAGTATACTTAAGAAAAGACAAATGCTGAAAGGTTTGATGAATAGCCAATCAGGCATCCTGAAACTCTTTTACAAGCAGGGCTGGTACGAGAGCTTGGCAGTTGGTGCACACGTGCTGGTTGGGCAGCAGAATTTGGTGGCAGCAAAATTTTTAGAAGTTGGGAAGGAACTGGGCAGCAGAAGTGTAGATTCGCAGAATTTGCACGATGTGGCAAAAACTCTAGCACCTGCCCTGTTTATGAGCCATGTATTTTGAATTCCATATTTATCCAAAATATTGTTACGAATTTTGTATTTAATTAGATATTTTTAGTAGAATTATAATTAAAAGTGTTTTATTTCCCTGTGGACATGAGACATATTTTAAGAGAAAGCTATGCTGAAAAAGTAAAAATATAAGAGCATGTGCATTTAACATTGAATAAATGGATCTCTCTTTAATTTATATTTAATTTGAATAAATGTAATTGACTACTGTGTTAACTGTAACCATAATTCCATCCTCTTTTGGGCTTTCAGAAATTTCCAGAAGCAAAGAAATTACTAGAACTCTCTCACGACTGATTGAAAGCTTTAAAAAGCTGGAGAGAGACATATCAGCTCAGTTGCTTAGTTACTGTTAATACGATTTGTTTAGCTTTCTCTTTGAACTGCGTTGTATTTTAAAATTTTTTGTAGTTTAAATTATAGCTACTGGTTGTATTGCATTCCATTTTACGTGTTTGTGTTCTTCTGATTATTACTACCTGATATTATGAACACTTATAAGAATATTTCTCAGGAAAATTCCAATAGTGTTATATCTGTTGTAATAAGAATAAATGTTATTAACTTTTTATTGGACTTGTGCATTCAATCTATTATGAACCCATACGCATGCAACAATATTAATTTACACTCAGAATGACAATGACAGAAAAGGGACAAAATGTCACTTAAGCAAAATTAAAAACCTTTTGCAAATTAAGAATCATATGACTGTAATCGTAGCAAGTTTCTTTTATACTATTTAGAATCACTATTTTATGTAGTCTTAAATACATGACCTAATGTTTTCTAGCATTTTTTTTTCTGGGGATTAGTTTCTAAATTAATTAGTCTTTCATAACTGTTTAGCATATTACTATTCCAGATTTTAAACTGGAATCTAAATGCAAAAATTAAATTACAATTTTCAGAATTTTGATAAGTTTTTAAATGCTTTAATTCTGAAAAATTTTTAATGGTAAACTAAGATTTTAGACTGTAACCTAAAAATTTTTGGTCACATGTGTATAAAATATTTTTCTAGCAATTTTCATATGATATTAATATAATGTTGACAGCTCAGTAATGTAGTTTTATTAAAGTACACTGCCTTCCAAAAGTCAAAGGAACAGCATGTTTTTCAATGCTCACCATTACAATGATCTCAGGAACATTTAAATTACATTGCTCAACATTGAAAATGCAACACCAAGAAGGAGTGGTCAGAAAGTGATAAAATTTAGAAAAAGACACAGACAGATAGAATACAGAACGAGAACAGCGTCGGCTCAATAGGATGTAGGGCCACCGTGGACAGTGATGGCTCTCCATTTCCTTTCAACTATTTGCCACAGTTCGTCTTCTGAACGAGGCAGGGGCAGAGTCTGCAATTGGCATCCAATCACATCCCACACATGTTTGATATGAGAAAGGTCGGGAGAGTATGGTGTCCAGAGAAGCATCTGTATACCTTGCAGAGCATGTTGGCAGATACGAGCACTGTGTGGTTGGGCGTTATCCTGCTGGAAAATTGCATTAGGCAGCCCCTGAAGGTAGGGGATTGCCACTGTCTGCAGTACATTATCAAGTTCGTGGGCCTCATAGTGCCTGAATATGAACTAGAGGTGACTGGAATCGTAGCAATAGCACCCAAACCATTATGACATGTTGTCCGCGGGTGGGGTATTGCACATTTACTGCAGCTTAGTCTGTCTCCAGTTGACGCCAACAAGTTTGTGCCGACGTCACTGATAAACAGAACTGACTCATCTATAATATGATGTTTGCCAATCTGTCTCCACATTGCTCCATCTGGCACCATTCTAAACGTTGCGTCTATGTTGTGGGTCAATGGCAGTCTCTACGGACGCCTGAGTGCAGCATGTTCAACCATCACGGTACTGGTCACACGAACATCCAAGGTATCTTGCTGTGCTGCCGAATCGCGACTTCCACACTTGTCCTCGAGCGTCGTTCATCGCTGCTTACTCTGGCGCACCTGCACCCTCCTTCTTCCACTTCCCTCTTCAACCATGTTCGCCATGCCGATGCACGGCTCGTATCCATGTGGTATCAGCTGTGATTGACGTAAGTACCAACCGCCCTTCTCGTCGATCACCATAGACCCCTCGTAAAATCGTCTATCTGCGGAATGCCTGCCTTCGTTGACGTCGGCCTGCATTCTCTCCTATTACATGTATCCTCTGGACAAAACCAACTTTCTCAATATTCTTTGGCAAAAACGCCAGATTGCCCTTCTGCATTTCCTCCCTTATATCGACTTCACCTGCGTCGGGAGCTCCACTTTCACATCTTCGCATACTCAGTGCGTGCATATTTACGTGAAAGTAAAATTTGCATAAATTTCTGACCACTCCTTCTTGGTGTTGCATTTTCAATGTTGAGCAGTGTATATGCATGATAGTAACAAAATTTAAGAAAATATATGCAAAAACAATAACTACTACTTTTTTTATAGAGGTTTATACTTGTATAGGAGTTGGAGAAAAATGTAAAAATTTTAAGTTGTCTTCACGAGTGTATCTTTAATTGTTATTAGCAATTTCGTTGACAGAATCTAGGAGAGTCTCGATGTCTAGCAGAAGTTTTTCCCCAATTTGTTGAGGTGGCAAGTAATAGGATAGATGGAAATTGGTATGTGCAAGCTGATGCTGCTACATTTCAATGTCTCTTGTAGTCTGGTCCAGTGACTATGGAATCGGTTTGAATCTGAGAATTCTATGTCTAGAAGGCATGCTCTAGCAAACCAAGAGTTACAAGACTTGCGGAAGACCATTATTTACCTCTTTTGGCCTGAAGAAGGAGTAACAAAACTGTGCCTCAGTTCATGGCATATCATTTAGGGACAACAGGAACAAATATCTCAGCTACTATAGTGTGCAGACGTCTGTATGCAAGATAACCAGCTGTTTGACCCGAGCACAGAAAGCTGCCCGTTTGTATTGGGCAAAAGAGCACATCACCTGGACTAGTCAATAACCAGTGAAATTCTCTTCATAGACTAGTCCTGGCTCATACTGGAGATTGATTCAGCTTGTCAACTGATCTAGAGGGAACAATGCAACAGATAAACCGATCCCACATTGTACAGAGATGGTGGAATAATGGTTTGGGGTGGGAACTCTTTTGATGGTCAGAGTGACCTGCATATGTTCTAAGGAGGAACTTTGACCAGTGTTAGGTAACAAGACGAGATCCTTAATCTATATGTCTGCCCATATGCCGCTGCTGTTGGTCCTGGATTTTTTCTGATGGGCACAATGAGCATTCTTACTGAGCTCGGGTTGCTGAAGAATAGCTTGGTTACATATAGAGTGAATGGATTGACCAGTTCAATCACAGATTTGAATCCGATAGAGCATCTTTGGAACTACCTTGGAAGACATACTGCTGCTTTAAATCCTTCTCCACGGTTGTTAGATGAGCTTGAACAAGGATTACACCTTGTCTGGTCCTTGCCATTTCACTGACAGACAACTTAATTGATGGCATGAAACTGTTGCAGCTAGGGTGGATATACACCTTATTAGAACCCATTTTTATAATGTTACCACAACATTTCTCCTCAGAAGAACTGTGATGTACTGTTTCTCCAAGGCTGAATTTCTCTGCTAAGAGTGCAGATTTTTGTTGTAATTTATGTTTGTGTTGAACTTAATAAACATGTCACATTCATTAAAGAGTTATTTAATGAAAATGTCCTCTAAATTTTTTGTTTCTATGTTGCTTCATTCTCAAATTAGACACAGAAAACATGCTGTTCCTTAGCTTTTGGAGGGCAGTGTAATTCCCATTATGCATCTTCAGATATCTTTATACCAGCCTTTTCTGTTTCACAGTCCAAGATGTCGTCTATCGGTGGCAAAACTTACGCAGGAGCTACATTAGGAGAAAAACTAAATCTAGAAGAGGAGAACCTGTAAAGGATTGGTATCTGACGTCACAGATGTCATTTTTAGCACCCTGTGTCCATAGCAGAAAGTAAGTATTAGAAACCAAGTAGTACTAATGTATTTATTATCTCATCAACTGTGAAGCTGACAGCAAGCAGCACTTATTATGGATATATGATTTAGCACTTATTATGGATAAACATGATGCACCAACATACTCATAACATCTTCACTTTTCTTTGATGTAGCCTTGATTCTCGATAAGCCATTGCTTGATTTTATGAACAAGAATGTAAATTATCTGCTAGTACTGTTATTTTTTCTTGTAATATATATACAGTCAAAAGTCTTTAATTGGAGCTTTGGCTTCCGGATTATAGATCATCAGTTTAAATCTGGTAAGATGGCATACAGAAATTATAAAATTAAAAATATGAAACCATAATTTATGAAATAAAGAGCAATTATGATCTAAAGGGTACAAAATTTACAAAAAAACTTAATATTTATTGTTTACTTTATTAATATTTCTTTCAACGCGCGCATGCGTAAAGCATACATTACGCATAGTCGAAATTAGAAAATTGAAACCAGAAAACTATTTGACGTGTATTTGTGATATTTATAATGACGAGGAATTTGATTTAAATCATATCAAAGACAGAGTACAGATGAAATAGATCGAGATGAAATACTACATTCTGTAAGGGATTACAAGCCGAATAAAATAAAAACATCTGTCATGAAGATAAGGATAGAGCTGACAGGTCAACTGTTCATTGCGCACCGCGTTTGAGATCCGGATTAAAAACTTTTGACTGTATATATATAAGTTTAGAATCTGCTTTTTATAACCAGTGGGCTCTATTCAAAGTTATGTTAGCATACCATCAAAAAAGTGTGTATTAATGCACAGACGTGTATTTAGCTGAATATGGTTGATAAAACAGTTATACAATTATAAACAGTTAGCTTGGAATAGTTACCTGTGAAATGTTTATGCTTATTGTATTTTAAACAGTTTCCAGTAAAATCAGAGTGCCTAACAAAATAGTAGAAATCAATGAAAGCTTTTTTACAAAGTACAAAAGCGTAGTGGGTGGAATGCTGATTGTTTCATTAAATAAAGAGGCATTAAGTCCTTCAGAATTCTGCAGGATCAATTGTCACAACCGTGGCAGGATATTTTTAATATTTTCATAAAATTCTTGAAAAATCATCCATGTTAAAATAAACCAGAACAGACTAGTCGACAACGCTGAACAGAATGAAACATCAATAACTATGCATATGTGGTATATAAACTTTTAAAACAATGAGAGAAATGCAGGAGTAATGTTGTGATGTGTCATGGTAGGGATAAATGAACGTGATGCCCCTGCATTGTTGCTGAAATTTACGGCAACCCGAAGGAGAAGTGCAGATAACCGAGTTCAGTATGTTGAGTGGTGGGCATTTTGAAGTCTTGCAATAAAGATAATATTTTTATTGTATACCATCTTTGGTTGAAGTTCTTGATGGATGCTATGTGAATATTTGATGTTCCATGGATAATGGTGATCTGCATGCCAACCAATTTCAAATCTTAAAAAAGGTCTTACGGTTCTTATGTCCCATCCATAGGAAAAATTTTCAAGAGTTCAAAGATTATTTTGAGTATTTTTTGTAAAACTCTTAAAAACACTCATGTCGAAACAAATGCAAAAAGGTACAGCTAATCATAACTATCCCACAAAGTTGAACAGAATTGAACAATTTCTGTGTGAATGTGGTATACAGTATAAAGTCAGAAATCTGGATATTAGACATTAGTATCTATAATTCAGACATCTGAACCACTAGCAACATTTTTTTTTTATAAAGTGTTTTTATATGCTTTATAAGTGTGCATTTGGTATTTTGTATAAAAGACGTGAGCAGTCCCAATTCTTAATTTCACTTCGACACTACATAAAATACCACCATCCTGAAGAAGCAGTCATTTATTATTACACTTACTGAATAATTTGTATCCATGATGCCAACCTGACAAATCGTTAGTCATTATTTTTTACTTTCACCACTGTGTAACTATCAAGCAAGTGATATCTACACAAACTTTAAAAAAAATTAGTAATTGAATACAAAAAAGCATAGTAACTGTTTATGTTAACATTATGCTTAGTGATGATTACAGACTTCAGCTAACTGTGCTGCAAAGTATTGAGTAGATTGAGAAATAAAAATTTAACAAACTTTCTTTTCATAAGCAAAAAACAGATTTTATTAAGTTATAGGCGAAAGATTATATTTTGTGCTGTTTAAATTGAGAGTAACTGAATTTTTATTCAGGTAAGCCGAGGACTGGGCCAAAGCAGAATTTAGGGTAGGTGAAATTTTAAAATTTAGAGAACATTAAGCAACAAAAGTAAAGAATGGCGAAATCTTTAGAATTTAGAAAAAGTACTGGGATGCAAAATTTTTAGAATATAAGGAGGTGCTTGGCAGCAGAATTTAGGACTCGCAAAGACTGCAAAATGCCTAGCGCAAGCCTTGAATAATCCTTAAGTATGTGTAGAAATTTGTTTATAGGGGACTCGGATAAGCCTTAAACATGTATGGGAAATATGTGTAACCATAATAAATAACTAAACTAATAAAGTTGGGCTTGATTGCACAGCGTGTGATAGAATTAAAACAAACTTTAGCAGAACAACATATCTTTAGCTGCCAATATCATGATATGTCACCAATAGTGTGTAGATGACTCTAGCTAAGCTTTATGAAGTAGCAGTGAATTTGAAGATTTTCAGATAACGCAAACAAAAAGCAAAATTTTTCAATTAATAGATTTTGTGAAGAAACATGGCAAAGTAATAAATGAAGGTGAAGTAACAGAATATTTTATTGCAATGATAATGCCTGAATCTTCAATCAACTAACAAATGACAAAATCTTGGTATGGTTGTAAATCCAGAAAATATTACGAGAGATAGTGAAGTTTGCTGAGAATGAAAAAATTTCAGTTGACAATTTAGTGGGAAATCTCGACACAAGAACACTTGAACAAGAAATTATGTCAGTTTGTAGAATTAAAGAGAAAGTATTAGCACATAAAAGAAGCTACTTAAACAACTTACATTGAAATAAATGTTTACTAAATCAAGCAAATAAATGTTGAGCCCTTTTTCTTTTTTTTCTGGGGGGGGATAAATTCCTCATAAATGCTTCATTATTTAATAAAGCACATTTTCATATTTTTAACTTAAAATTTTTTTTAAGATTTAAACTGATGATCTAATGTCAAGAAAAATCTGGAACCACCAAAGTCCGGACTACTGCAGATCTTGAACTTTGTACTATATTAAAAACAATGCTCAGCTTCAAGAAATCATCATCATCCATGGCACAACAGCCAATGGTTGGAACTAGAGGTTTCCAACCACCTCTACTAACAGTCAAACCCCTGCAGTCTTTAGTTTTAACGACTAAACAATCCTTCTCTATAGCATCTATCCATAGAATTCTAGGTCTTCCTCTTCTTCTTGTATTACCTGGTCTAGCTGAAAACATTTTTTTTAGTATGTTATTGTTCATATGGATAACATGTCCAACCCAATCAAGGCAGCTTAATTTAATGTAATGAAAAAAGTCTAGGTCTTTGAACATTCGGTATTATTTCGGTGTTGCGTCTTCTATGCCAGGTACCATTTTCCTGAATTCCTCCAAAAATGTTTCTTACAACTTTGCATTCAAAAGTACCCAAGATCCCAACCTCTTTCAGAGTCCAGGTCTCCGAAGCATATATCAGGACAGGACAGATTAGTGTCTTGTAGAATAATACCTTCGTCTTTCCAGATAAAAAGCTAGATCTGGTAAATGCTTTAATCCATGTTATAAATAAAAGGCATGAGAGGCCATCTCTTTGTCACTTAGCAATGAGGCAGCCACTAGAAATGTAACCTTGAATCATAACCCTGCAAAAATCACACTAAGTGTAATTTTTACGAATTTTAGCAGTTTTAAGGGAATATCAAAATCTTGCATTACTCTTAATAATTTGTTGCAGTCAATACACCACTTTGTAATCAATAAACAAGAGATGCAAATCAATATTAAATTCATGGGATTTCTTTATAATTTGTCTAAGGCCAAAGATATGGTTGACAGTAGATTTATTTACCTGTACAAAATCCACATTGATAGTCACCAGCAATTCTGTTCACATAAGGAACAAGTCTCTTGTGTGGTAATTTGGAGAAAGCTTGTACTGTAAACATAGCCCTTTAAAGTTTTCACAAACCAGAGTCTCCCTCGTTTGTAGATTGGACATGTAACACTTATGTGCCAGTTGTCTGGCATCTTCTCACTTGACCAAACATTCATAATGATTCTATCGAAAAACTCCGTAGCACTTGATCCTCCATATTTTAGAAGCTCTGCCTGTATGAGTTCGATTCCAGGTGCCTTGTAGTTTTTAAGCTCCTTAACAGCAGATACTGTTTTCTGCAAACTTGGTGATGTCAGTTCCCTGGATACAGTAGCTGACCTCCTGATAGAATGCAGAGCACTCATTGGTCTTCTTCAGGTGTTCATGTCCTTAAATCTATTTTCAAGCTGTTTTCTATGCCCTAAGAATCTTCTTTTAATTCAGTGCCTCGTAATATTCCTGTGCTATATTTCTAGTACAGTGTTGTAGTGTTCTTTCGTATACGACAAGCTTTTGTTTATTTGCAAAACTGTATTCTATATTCTCAGCCCTAAGAATCTTCTTTTAATTTTTCTGTACCTCATAATATTCCTGTACTATATTTCTAGTACAGTGTCGCAATGTTCTTTTGTATACGGGAAGCTTTTGTTTATTTGCAAGCCTATATTCTTAGCATGAAGAAATGCAGGAGTAAATTAATTATTCCAATCATAAGCATTTTTAAGGCAGTTCTACAATCAGTGTGCTGAAAAGAATTTTTTTAATATTTTTTTTTTTTTTTTTGTAAATGAAGACAAATCATGCTAGAAGTCAGTGGCGGCTTCTCTGTTTATGGACTTGAATTTATGGATCCCCAAAATAAAACTAAGAAATATATTTATTAAAATAAATATAAAATAAAACAGTATTTATACATTAATGCT